GGTGCTGACCTTTTTCTGACAGTACACATTTTGTCTTGCTCAGGACAGAAGTGATCATTTACGTTGTTGAGCGCTCACCCAACGGCACTTCGAGGAGAGTTCCCGCAACAACCCTCTCAGCCCACTTTGAACAAGCCAACATCAAATCGTCCCTGCAGCAGCTGGGGGTCAGCCTCTCCATGACCAGAACAGAGCTTTCCCCAGCACAAGTCAAACAGCTCCTGCAGAACCCTCCTGCCGGTACGTGGTCTGGGGCTGCACGGGGGCACAGTTGGGCCTCTGCTGTGGCTTTTTTGGGTCTCTAGGAAAAATGCAGGTGTCGGCCCACCGGAAACACCTTTTATAAGTACAAGAGTTTCCAAAGCACTCCGACATACTGATGTAGTCGTTTTAATTACAGCCAGTTTTCCCACTGAAGTGTAATGTAGTCCAGCAAGACAGCTACGACTCATCAGTAATGTGCCAGGCAACACCATACTATATGATTTAGCCATCATAAATCACTTCGACTTGTCCAATTTAAAAAAAAAAAAAAGTTAAATATCAGAATAATCATATCCTATATTCACTTCCTACTTTTCAGGGGGGTTACTTTGCCTGTATATGTGGCCACAGAAAGTACATCTACAGCTTTATTTTAGAGAAGTGTTGTTCATGCCATTTCATAGGATAATTGTAGCTTATTCTCTCTGTCTATACAGTATCCCATGTAGCACCTGCAGTCCAGAAGCTGCAGTGGGTCAAGGAGAGCAGCCTGTGGTTTCCAGCAGACAGTATGTAGCATGTTCAATAAGACCGTAGTGTTCAAAACCACAGCAAAGCTTATGATGTCTGGATTGCAAAAAGAACTTGGCCTACTCTTGCAGAAAAATCAGAGGCAAGCAGCAGTGTTTTCAAACTGCTGCAGCATTGGGGAGAAGTAGTTGCTCTGCAGAAGCAAGTTGGCTTTCTTTAATATTGGAGGTGTATCGTAAGGCAGCTTGTTAGTCCGTGACTGAGAAGGAAGCAGAGTTTGTAGGCTGGCTAATCAGGCAGTAAGTTGTGCAAGAAGAGGTGTTAGTGCTGAGCTCTAGAGAAGCAGTCGCACCTCGAGAGATGAGTTTTGGTATAAAGATAATATGTTTAATGAGGAATGACCTGGAACGTTGTGCAGTGAAGAATGTTATGGTAGCTGGGTGTTCTGGTCTCCTCTTTAGGCTGGCCTGAAATTGTTAAATTACCAGTACTTTTTTTTTTTTTTCCTTTTTTGCATGTCTCTCTCTGGTCAGAAAGTCAGTTGCTTCCGTATCAGTGTTGTCTTGTTTTTTTTCCTAGCATGCCTAGGTATGTGCATTTTATACACTGATCTGACTTGCGGTGAGGTTTGGAGAATACAGTAACAGACATCGTGATGTTCATGTACATGTACAATTAGGCTGCTTTTCGTTTACGTATTTACCCGATGAAGCAGTTCATGCAAAACAAGCAACTGTTCTGTCAACAGATCAAGTCCTTAGACAAATCCTGTCAGGAGCCATGATAATCCCTACTGGGATTATTTTGCCAACTGGTTTGGTACTTTGATCACTTTTTTAATTTTTAATTTTTTTTCTTTTTTTTTTATTAATACGATAAGCAACTTGAAGAGGAAAGATGACCCAAGTGTAGCATACAGTGGAAACAATAGGAATTTCTCCCCTCGAAATATGGACTGTCCAATTTGATCACCTGTGGGTTGTTCCTTTCAAAGCAGTAGAAGTGCTTGACAGCCTTTTGGACTGAACTTACTGCCGCAGTCCAGGACCAAGACTTTTTAAGAACTACCCTTGTTTACTTAACCTTAATTTGTATAGCAGTCATTCAGGTTAGCGTAGTCCTAGGGTTTGTATATTTCCTAGTCTTTTTCCTGCTTAACAGCTGTCAGATGTGATATCTATTCAGATCTATCTACAGTAAAAACTTGTTTGTTTGGTTTTTTTTTTAAGGTGTTGATCCTATTATATGGGAACAAGCCAAAGTTGATAATCCTGATCCTGACAAGTAAGTCTAATAGTCTGAGTATTACAAAAAGACTTGGAAAGGGGAGAAATATCTAATACTGTGTAGTACCCTTCAGGTAACTTGTAAGAAACTTACTAGAGAATAACTTTGTCGAGTGCTGATCTCATTTGAAGCAGTGAGGATTACTAGAAATGCCTGTCTAATCCCTTTACCCATTTAGGCACTTAAGGGTTGTCAGGATAAAGAGCTTTACTTGGATTACTTGTAAGTTGTGGTGTCCTCCATTATATGGGCTAGCTATTGTGACCGTTTTCTAGCAACCGTGAGGTTTTTTTCTCTTTATTCCTGCAGCTTTAAAGTGATGTACCCTTGTACCCTCCAGTGGCTACAGATAACTTAGGCTGATTTCTTTATGAAAAAGGAACAGGTTGTTAGGAATAGTGAGAGCTGTAGAACTTAGCAAAACAAGATGTGTTTATGTATTATCTTAGTTTATAATAGACCAAGATCATCTGTTACTTTAGATTATATTAATAATTATTAATCCATACCACATTTCCAATATAAAAATGTGTTGCAAGAAGTATTTGTATTCTTGTAGGCTTATTCCTGTGCCAATGGTGGGTTTCAAGGAACTGCTGAGAAGATTGAAGGTCCAAGATCAGATGACCAAACAGCATCAAACTCGATTAGATGTAAGGTTTCTCATCTTTACCGTGACTGCTTGCTGTTTGCAAAGGATTTCCTAGTAAATGAGCCTCCCCCTGTGCCTCCTGTGTGTTGAAAACTGAAACTGGAGCTATGTACGTGGGGCTGCGGCTCTCTATCACTATTTCTTAGTACATTCCTTAATTATATATTTTGACCAAAAACCGAGCCAGTATGTTTTGGCTTTAGTTTTTATCAGGTTCGAGCCTGCTGTGTTGTTATAGGCTAATTCAAACCAGCTGAATTAAGTTGCACTGGCACAGACTGGGCACCCACTTTTCTGATGCCGTATGAAAATCCTGGTTGGATATGAAAATAAATAGAAACCAGAACAGGAGAGGTCTAGCGAAAAGCTTTCTGAAAGCGTCTTTGGCGAGGACGCTAAGTTGCTGGACTGAGGAGTGTTTTGAAACTCCCGGTTTCAAATCGGGACTAATGTGTTCTGCTATCAGAAACTCTTATGACTTCCAACTGACTCCATCTCCTCTGCAGATAATATCAGAAGATATCAGTGAACTGCAGAAAAACCAAACAACTACTATGGCAAAAATTGCACAGTACAAAAGGAAACTGATGGCGCTTTCTCATAGAACGTTACAGGTAACACGGACGGTCTAAATAACTCGTTCTGACACACAGTCTAGTGCCACAAGGCACACTGAGAGGGGGCAGGATGACCTGTGCAGTCTTGTGCATGGCCAGTGTTGAAAATGAAATTCTGATTTCATCTAAATGATATTGCTTTAAGTAACTAGGGGTGCAGCATGTCTTAGTGCTGTGGGAACCTTCTCTCTCTCTTACTCAGAAGCCACGGGACTTCCCGGAGGTCTCGGAGCAGCAGACTAAACAACAGAACAAATCTGAGAGAAAGCTGGAGGAAGGGCTAAAAGACATGTGGATGGGCTAGTGGGGGAAGAGGTGGGCAAAGTTTTCTCTAATGAACCTCAAAGGTTTCTTTTGTAGGTGTTAATAAAGCAGGAGATCCAAAGGAAAAGCGGTTATGCCATTCAAGCAGACGAAGAGCAGCTTCGTGTACAGTTAGATACAATTCAGTGTGAACTTAATGCACCTACGCAGTTCAAGGTGGGTAGTTAATAGATCTTTGCCAACAACTCTTGTTTTTCCTCACAAAAGAATGTAAGTTTTCCAAACCGTGCATATATATTCGCTGTGGAAAGCTTTCAGAAGGGAAGTCCAGCTGTGTTACTAGATTGCAGAATGAAGCTCTTCGCTTCATGACTGATACACAGTATTTTTGTATTCTTAAAAGTATTGGAGTTGCTTGCCCTTTGCATGTCTTCCAAAAAAAAAACAAACCTAAAAATGGAATTGGTGGCAACACTTCCTGCCCTGGTGACTTGAGGTACATGCTGGAGCTCTGACAGATGTAAATGAGTTGTGTTTTGATTTAAGCCTGTTTCTCTTCCCAGGGCAGACTGAATGAGCTCATGTCCCAAATCAGGATGCAAAACCACTTTGGAGCAGTGAGGGCTGAAGAGCGCTATTACATAGATGCAGACCTCTTAAGAGAAATCAAACAAGTAAGTATTACTGGGTAGAATCCTGGGATAGTGTTTGAACTTCATAATTTAAGCCAGCTATGCACTAACTTGGGAGATAGATCTAGAATGTCATGTTTTTGTAATTGTTTGATGATGAAGTCCTTTTTATTGTTCTCAGTGACAGTGCATCAAGGTGGTGCACAAAGCCACTCTCTGCAGTTAGGCTATTAGTGAAGAAAATGCTGGTTTTCCTTCTTCCAAAAGAAAATGTGCCCAGGCCACCAGACGTGGCACCTTTGAGAAATATTACTTAAAATCTGTTAAGTGGAACTATGCTCATGCTGGTTTTTTAAACTATCTATCTGCAGCATCTGAAGCAGCAGCAGGAAGGCCTGAGTCACCTAATCAGCATTATAAAGGATGACTTGGAGGACATCAAACTTATAGAACATGGGCTGAACGAGACCATTCCCATCAGAGGAGGAGTCTTCAGTTGACATGGTGGATGCTGCTGGGCTTACACAGAACATGTTACTCGAGTTCATGGTTCACCTTCCAAGGCTAAAACTGTTGAGGTAAAATAAAACACGTATCTTCTAGGAGCAATGGTATTTTGGCTATTATCTTTAGAATTAGCAAAGCCTCTTCTAAGCTTTTGAACTTGACCTTTGGAAGGTTTATATTTTATAAAGCTGTATATGCTTTAATAAAAGAAGGAAAACCGAATCTGTTCAGATACTGGTTTACTATAAAACTATATGTACTATTGTACATTTTTCTTTTTTTTTTTTTCTTTTTTTACAACAGCATTGGTCCTAGAAATGCAGTGCAGAGGGAATTGTTCCACTTGTGACTTGGTTTGTGGAAAGCTTAGCCTGCTTCCATGTTTTTGTCAAAACAATCAAGTAACAACTTTATGTAAACAGCTAATTTAAATCATTACAGATATGGATGTTGCTGTAACTCTGTCAGTCTCTGCAATACCAGTAGATTACTGGGGCAAGCTGCAGGAAGTCAATGTTTCCAGTTTCTGTCCTTCCTTTGGACTGCAAGGATCTGAAGGTTATGTTTTTATCACTTTACGTATGTGAATTATACAAAGCTTTGCTGCCCCTCAAATAACAACAGAATGTCTAGACATTGTCTTCTGCCTTTTTTTAATTGCTGGAGAGTAATAAATTCAGTCTGACTTTGTAATAACTTGTGCATGGTGTTGGCTCTTTCCCAGCTACATCAGCAAAGCAGTGAAACTGCTAACAACCTCAGGTTAATGCACTTCACTCTCCTGCAGGTAACCGGCTGTCAAACCCGATGCCACAGAGCTGCTTGGCAGCCGCAGTCCCCAAACTAATAAACAAGGTCATGTCCCTTAGATCCTACCTGGGACCAAGTACTGCAGAGCAGGTGGCTACTGCATGCATTGGAGAGACAGCTTTTTTTTTTTTGTCCCCTAAAAAGTTGCTTTTTTTCCCTTATTGCAGAAGTCACTGAACATAACTGAAACAAAACTGCATTATTTTCTGCAATGGGAGAAACAACTCAATCACAGTAGAGACAGAATCCCTTTGGTTCATTAGCCACACAAAAGAAAACACCACACCACCACATTCATAACATTTGAAAGACAGAAAAATAGAAATACAGCCTCAGCATGCCGGAGCCTGTATTGTGCTTTTGAGAGAGTTTATTTGTGGAAGCGTGGTTCCATTACAGTTGAAAAAAGCATGTGTAGAACTGCATGTTCAAGATAAATAGGTAAACCCCCTCACCCCTTTCTAAATTGCAATTGTACCACGTTTTGAAAAAATCTCTTGAACATGCAGCATAGGCACTCTAGCAGGGGGCTACTCAGTCTACTACCCTGGCCTTTGGAAAAGAACTGGTCTCAAATAGATTTATTAAAAAAAGCTCCCTCCTAGAGACAGTTTCACGTGTTTGAGGTAGTTTTTTCCAAGTGTTGCTCCACTGCATGTGTTTAGAACTTACAGAACAAACTTATCACAGCAAAGGAACAACAGAGGGGAAGTAGGTAATATCACTGAAACAGCACTGCTGCGAATGGGGTTGAAGAACAAGGGCAGGCATGAACAGTTGAGAAGCAGCAATGTAGAAAAAAAATGTTTATTAAAAGGAAAGCTGTGCTCTATCAGTTGCTACATCGTTAGAACACTGCCTACAAGAAATAGCTTGACTTCCATTTTACTACACTTGAACAGCCCATGCACTGGCTAGAGAAACTAAGTTGCATCTTCCTTTTGAGCAGAAATTTCTACTTAAAACACAGCTCCTTTTCAAAAATGGTCAGAACTGAAGTCCAGCTTATCTATTTTACCCGTTACCTTCCCCAAGTGGATCACAGCTGTTGGCTACGGAGGTCACTGTTTTCAACCCAGAGGTGCTACAAGTACCTGCCTTCCCTTTCCCTGCTTCGCATCTGCAGGCACGCTCTGCCATTACATAGGAAGCGGTCCCCCTGGCTTCACAGACAGTCAAGGCATTGGACGTGTCAACCCCCACCAGGTTCTCACTACTGTGACTGCTTGACAAGGCGGAAGGCTTCTAGGAACTCGTTGAAGTCGATGTTTCCATCCTTATTAAAATCAATGCTGCGCACTAAGTCATTGATGCTGTCATCCGTGAGTTCAATGTTCATGTGGGAGCTGAACAGCTTCCAGGTTTGGTGGAATTCCTCAAATGAGATGAGACCTGTGGAGAAGGAAAGGCACAGCCCCCTCAGCGCAAGGTCACCACGGGCAGTGCTGCCAGTCAGTCCCCGCTCAGCAATGCAAGGAGGGACCCCTGCTCAGGCTCTCTATCTCATCCCACCCCTGCTGCCTGCATACCCTGAAGGAAGCAAAGAAATCACTCATCATCTACATTTCCTGTGCTGCAACTACATTTCTTGGTGTGAAGAACTCTGGCTAAAATACAACTTAAAGCAGGAAAAAGACACAACGCGATTTGGGAGAACAAAAGAAGGCAAAACCTGTTGTATTTTCTCTTTCCTGAAGTAATTTGGTAGAGATAACTGCCTGAAAGCAGGTAACTCTCAAGATCCCGAGTACGCTACATTACTGTCATTGCTCTCATCAGAATTTTTCTTCTGCTAAACTGCTTCAGAACAAATAACGAGTAATTCTTTACCTGGACTGTATGTGATCAATGTGCCACGTTTGTGGAAGTGTGCAGTGACATTTCAGAAGCTCTTGAGACAATAACCCAAATTGAGGGGAGAAAAAGGCCCAAGCCTCGAACCATTATATAAAAATGTCGTTGTATATACTAAAAGGAGCCCGGGAGTAGAATGGAATACAACACAGTGACCAACACCCCTGCACACCTGCTTACCTGAATGATCTCTGTCTATGATCCTGAATATGGTCTCCAAGTTGGATCTGTTTCGGTAAATGACTTCCAGCAAGCTCGACTGGATATGCTGAAAGACAACATGGTCACACTCCTCCTTCCCTTTCCCACAGCTCTCTGCTTTCTCTCAATGGTTACTGCAGGTGTTCCCGTAAATAAAAATGTTTACTGCTCTCAAGAGTTTGCCGGCAATGCACTTTGCATCGCGTGTGACTTTTGAAACAGGTTTAGGCTGACCGGACCCCCCGTGCAGCTCTGCATTGTAGCACATCAGCAACCTGTCGCTTCCAAACAGAGCTTTTCTGGGCTAACAGCTAAGACAGTGACTTGGGCTACGTTTTTTAACCACTGCAGAGTTGGTTTTGCTGGGTGTAATTAAGAAACTGCGACTCAGAGAACGGAATATAGTTTTCCTACTTAAAAGCCCGCACCAAAAACTGCCTCCAGGTTTTGATTTCACATACATCATCTATTTCTACAATGGACTGAACGCCTCTGGACTACTTGAATTCATGCAAGCTTTTCCATCGACTTCAGTGTGATTTTGGATTATAGAGGAATCTGAACCGTCCACTCTCCTCTCATACCATACTTGCTTCCACGTGCTGGGGATATTTTGAGCTGCTTTGCATCATGCTTTGACAGAAGGGGGCAAGTCCTTACCTCTTGGCTCCGCTGCTCCACGGCCAAGTCGTCGAGCCAGGACTTGTACTCCAGCATGCCGTCCGTCGTGCTGCGCACCAACTGCGGTCTCAGCATTCGCCAGGGCAATCCCAGGTGCAAGACTGACTCCACTGCCATTGCCCAGTTGCTCAGCGTGATCCGGCCTGTAAGGAAAAGGGAGAGCCATGGAGACCTCAGAGACAGAGAGCTGAAAGCACACGAAGGCTAAAAAAGCCTGGAGTAGTACGCATACCCGGTCTACCATGCTGCTGACGGCAACAGTGGCATTTCTTCATGGCACACTTGAGCGCTTTAGTCCAGGAAAAAATCCTACGTGGCTGTACAGGCGTCAGCCACTGCAGGCTCAAGTGCAATCACTGCTCCCTCCCAGCCCCAGCGAGCTTTTGATCATTGCAAGAAATCAAGGCTGTAAACATCTGAACAACGCGAAGACGCTAACTTTGGATATTGCGCTATAAATTTGTGGCCTACAGCCAGGCTGACCCTGCAGATCATGGCCTACACAACTGCACTACTACTGCCTCAGTAACCCAGGAACATGGAAAAGCCCCTACTTTCGCAGCTGCTCTAACAGCTGAACTGGACTTTTGTAAGCAATTTTTCTGCCAGGGAAGTAGGCAGGAAAGCAGTTCTGCCAACCAGCCCACAAATGGACAGACCTCAGCAACACGTCTCAGGCGCTGCACCAGCAGAACACTCCTGGCAGCCGGAGAATTATTAACTCTCAGCTCCTTCCTTAAGGCTCTGACAGAGGCAGCTGCCACGGAACATCCCTCGCTTTCCTCTTCCCAGTGATTTTAGACTCCAGGGATGAAGGGGCTCTAGAGACCATCCAGCCCTTCCCAAGTGACACATGACGGACATGTTCCAGGTCATCTTTTCCAATGCTTCATCAATGCTCCTGCTCCAAAGAGTTCTCCTCGAACTAAGCCTAAATCGCTACGTATCCGGCTAATCAGAACTTGCTTCTCCGACACCCCATTGTTATAATGCCACTCCGAGACATTAACAGGTTCCCAGCAGAGACACTGAATAACAGCAAATGAGACCAACGCTGTGGCAAGGTCTGACACAGCGTCCCCCTGTGACAGTCGCTGACAACTATCAGTGCGGAGCCTCCCAACCAGCCACATGCTTAGCTGCTTCAACCCTGTCCCGCCAGGGAATTAACCTGAGTGTCCTGTGGCTCAGATTTACCCGTATTGTCCTTATCGTACGCCTTGAACGCACTGATGAGGCCTGAGGTGTGAGCAAAGAGCTTTTCCCGCAAGGCTCGGAAGGCTGACTCCTCTACTCTGCTGATTCTGGAGGATGCAGAAAAGAGAGAAGCACATTAAGGACTTGCCACGAAGCGCAAGAGAAGCTGCACCTTCCCAGTCCTCTGGCCTGCCCGTGGATTGCCCAGACCCCGACACAACTCCTCGGCACAGCTACAGCTGCATCTCAGTGCTTGTGACAAGGCACTGCATGCCTGGAGCACACTTCCCTGCAGCTGATGCGGTGAATCCCTGCATCAATTTGTGAAGTAACAAAGCAGAAGGGAACCTCAGCAAGGGTCAAAAGTTAAAACTTGACATTGAAAAGAGAAGCTGGAAAATCTGCAAGTCATTATATAAAGGTGTGTGTTCTTACTCAGTAGATCTACTCCCTGTAGGTATTTAACCACAGTTAGTGCCCCCTTTAACAAAGTACTAGAGCTCACACATACCTTCTTGCATGATTTCAACGAGCCTTAATATGAAGCCAGCATGCATTTAAGCTGGTCCTGCATTAAAAAAAAAAAAAAAAAAAAGGTCCCCTTCTGATCTTGTGACGCTCCCTTCTCAACCCTTGAGCCTCCCCCAGTAATTTCTGCACAAAGCTTGAATTCTCCTCTAGCACTATTATTTAGTAAATCAAGCTGTAAAAGTTGAGCTCTGGAGTCAAACTTTCTCAAAGCTCCCACCCAAAGCTTTGAGAGTTTTCCCTTTTGGAATTTCAACATGGCGAATACAGAGCAACCAGAAAGTCTTGCCTTTGAGTCATAGTGAGAGTGTGGGCCGTCTTGTTTGCTTGGTACTGAACAAAATGGGGGACGAGGTCCGGTCCCAACTTCACATAGGCTCCCCTGTTGCTGCCAATCTCGTAGTAGTTTGAGGCTGAAAATATGGTCAGCACCTAACCCCCAAAAAAGAGAGGCATTTACAGTCAGTACATACATCTGCTATCGTATATACGTGTATCAGTGAAAACAACACAACCGATCCCATCTGGAGGTATCAGACTGTGAAAGCACCACGTTTTATGTGGAAAAGGAAGAACGAGGTGGCGGCTGGCCTGGAAGCCTTACAGGTGTGAGCTCCTCGAGGGTGACACTGGTCTCACGTGGATCTGGCCACATGCTGGGCTTCTGCGCTTTCACTGTACTCTCCTGACAAAATTCCACTCTCCACTGCAGTGAGCGGAGTCAAGTGCCCCTGCTGAAGTCACTGAAGTGACCCTGATTTTTCTGAAGGCAAAATATTGCTGCAGCAGCTTAGTAACACCCTTGTGTACGTCATAGCCAGAAACAGCTGTGTTAAGTGGGGCCAACGGCACAAACGGGTTCAGATCTTTTCTGAGCTACCACACACAAGGACGTGCTTTGCTTGCACAACAGATGCTCCCAGGAGAGTAGGTGGCTCCAGACGGTCCTGACCTAAGACCTCAGCTGGGAACACACGTCAGTAACTCCCAGGAAGGCTGTTCAATGATTTTGTATGCACTTAACAAAGCCCCATTGGAAGAAATACAGAGCTAAGACAAGCCATGACAGAACCCCCACCCTGGCAGGGTGGAAACCCAAGTATGCCGACCCCCCCTCACAGACCTTCCGGTTGTGACAGAACTCGTAGCCCTCTTGCTTGCACTCATGGGAGCGGATGAGGAACTGCAAGTTGTGCTTCTCAAGGATCTTCCCTGTCACATCAGGTCCAAAGTAGCAGCCACCGCCTCGCACCGTATTTACTCTGCAGCCCTCCTGAGGCATGGGGTCACTCCAGAGAATGTCTAAAATCTGAAAGGATTGGAAAAGTGCACTGAATAAGGTTTACCCAGCAGATAGTACCCATCAAAGTTTACTAAGCGAAACAGCTCTATCTCTGAATCCCTCCTTGGATTGCTGCTATTACCATAGTGCAGGGACAGATGTGCATCCCAGCTGTGAACCACCATACTGCTCCGCAGGACCATCACAGACCTGGTCCACCACAGAGGTGACAATATTGTTGGCCTGGAGCTGCAGGCACACCCAAAGTGCCTGGGGGAAGAGGGGTGTCCATAAATCAGGCCTGATACAAGCTTTCCCTTTGCGGCCTCTAAGGTTTCATGCCTTGCCTGTCCTCCTCCATCCCAAAACACAGGCCCCAGGGCAAGAACACCCAGCAGATCCTGAGGCCATGAGCAGGCTTAGCGTTAAACTCCTTTGCTTTCTAGCCAGGACATTCTGCAGCCTCCAGAAATGTAAGTGCTGACTCAGTAACCACTATTTGGATTAAAGTTTAATCTCTTTAACCCTGACCTCAATATACAGCTTTATGCTGATAAGGTGTGCAATGCCAGGATGTTGTATGTAATGTGAAGTAACTATTCTTTCAGAGTGCACAGAAGGGGCTTACAGACAGACTGGTCTAACACAAACAGGAAACCAAGTTTCCAGGCTCTGATCTGCCTAGCAATCTACTCGCAGTGCAGCCTGGCTAATACCACAGATTCGGTCTGCGAAGATCACAACTCACTCATCAGCAAATGATGTGCTCGTTCATTACCTACAGAGCTGACTTCAGATACCCCCCGTACACAGTAAGCGATGTAACCACTGGGCTCTACAATCAGGCCTTGTCTATGATTTCTCTCCCCTGCAGTGAATCAAGAAAACCTGTTGCCCCACTCTATCCCTCAGCAGCAGTTTTATTTATACAACAACAGACGAGTGCTGTGCTAGGGGCAAACGCTGGGACAGAGCCTTGAGCACAGAAAGCCGAAAGCCCGATGAAGAGGCTGACTCGCAAGGGTGGGAGAAAGGCACCAGCAGAACGGCAGCTAGCACATAGCCTATGTTCTCCTACGTGACTCTCATTCACAGCTCTTCAATTGCTAGGGAACCGTGCCACAGGATGGGCTGGATGTAGCGCAGGTATCTAACGAAACATCCCCAAGCAGCAGAGATCACGTGCTCACAGTACAGCCCTTCCTGGCCACTTACCGCTGAATGATCCACACCAGGCTGCCTCGGGGCACAGAGCAGTAGGTACAGAATAGCACAAACCCCATTAGCCTGGCCGCTGGCACTTCAACACTGAGTTGCTCCTTAAGTCCACTGTATGAAGCGGCAAACATCTCTCGGCAGAGAGGTCTGTGCACTGGCCCGTATATTTTGTACTGAGATTCCTCGTAACAGAGAGCAAACCTGCAGGAGGCACCCACCGAGCTCAGGGCCCCGCTCAGACTACTCACCTGCTTCCACTCCTCCTGGCGAGTCCAGCATGGCCCATCCAAATCCGTCAAGGAGACCACACTGGAATAGGTGAGCTCCTCCTCCTCTGACTCGCTGATGTCCACCAGCCGGCGGCACCACTCGATTTGTTCCTGCACCGTCTGCCGGACCCACTTGGAGAACTCCAGCCTGTTGGCCATGCTGGGAGCCTGGGCCGGCCGGGGCTGCGGAGATAAACTGGGGGCTGCCTCGTTCCCTGCTGGGTCGGCCTCTACTTTGGTCTCCCCATTTATTTCCTGTATTTCCACATTTCTATTTGACTCCTTTCTTTTCTTCCCTCTTAATACAGAAATAAACTGAAAGAGGTAAGAGAGAGAAGAGAGATGGTCACACTGCTTGAAAACCTACATTTCCAGCTCTAACACCTTCCATTGGCAGACTGTCAAGTGACCCAAACCTCTGAGCCTCAATTCCCCTGGCTGCCATCAAACGCTGGTTAATTGTGGGAGATTACTAGTGCCGTCCTCTCAGATGTGCCATTCCTGGTGTACAGCTGGGGCCCTGCATCCATCCTGACTAGACGTCTATCTCTTCTTCCTTGACTTTATACTGCTCAGACATTACACAAAAACATGGATTTAATCTGCAATAGGAACTAGGCAGCAGAATGAGGGAAGGAGTAATGACTGATGCAAGCGTTTGTCATCGCATTTGGAGAAGGGAGGTGGTATTTCTCAACTAGAAAGCGAGGCAGAGACAAGTTAAACGACTTATCAAAACCCTTCTGGAAATCTAGGGGGGAAAAGCAGGCTAAGAAACTGTGGAAAAGTCTCATTATCACTATGTTTTTACAGTCAGCATCAGCACACCTATCTACTCATGCCATTACCCACCCCCCTTCCCTGGCTACGGTCCTTACATCTTCCGGAAGCCAAGAATGCTTCTTCCCTTCATACTTCCTGCACACACGCTCTTAAACCAAAGCGATGTGCTCCAAGCCTGTACCTAAACACAGTTTGTCTAGGAAGACCATCCTTTAGATTTGTCTCATCAACAGCCAAGTTGACACGTAGAAATAATCTCCTCACCACAAATCATCAACACTTTTCTCTTGCGGTATCTGTGAAATAAAACCTACTTTGTTCCTTTGAATTTTCTCAAGCATGTCCAGGTCAGTGGTGTCAGAGATGCCCCCGTGTATAATGAGGACTTTCTGATCAATCAGGGTGGCCAGGGGCAGCCAGCAGAAGACATTCTGAATCATCTTCAAGATTTTCTTCCCATGCACCTAGGAGGACAGGTCAGAAAGGAAAGATGAAGCATCGAGCCTTCCAAGTCCACATCTAACATGGTAAATGAAACACAAACGTATGCCTACCTTATATTTCTGCATTACTTCCTTGGTGAAACCGTAGCTAAAGGAACAAGAGAAAGGAAGTTCAGTGGGATTTCGCAGCGACGCCCTTCACATCGCCATCAGCCCCGCACAGAACCCGTACCGTAAATTGACCATGTGGTCCTCGTGGTTCCCGCGGTTGAGATGAACCTCCTTTGGATAGATCAAGAGGAAGGTAAAGAGGATGATGAGGATCTCAAGGGACTGTTTGCCTCTGTCTACGAAGTCCCCATTGAACACGTAGGACTTGGAAGGGGAAGGAAGGCCATTCTGTAAAAGCAAGGAACAGGCAGATGTTACAAGAGAGGCCTCCCTGTGATCTCCATATGCCTCCCCTCCCAGCTGCACATTCTCTCACTCCTGCCCCAGGTTACCTTATACACGAGACCCTGACTCTGATTTTTATCCTATAGGCTCCCAGTGGTAAATGCACTGAAAAGTGAAAGCTGGCAGTCAGGAAGGGTTGCCATCCCTATCAGCACTTATAAAAATGTCTGCTGGCACTTCCCAAATGTACACGTATAGCCGATTGCAAGGTCAGCGAGGGAATAAGCTGCTGAAGCCATTTTAAAAGCATGACATTGACGTAGAGAATCGCACTCGAAGGGCCCGATTTTGCAAACGCTTCTCAGCATTACCCCTGCGATAGCTCTCACAGTGCCTGGCCAGCCTCCCTCTCCAAATACGGTGCCTACCTTATAAAATATGAGGAACAAGTCGTCCAGCTGGCCGTGCAAGTCTCCTAACGGGCACAAAAAGACACGTCATAGCATGTTTACCTTCAACTTAAAAAGACACCAATAAATAACTTCCTATGAAGTATCTCCTCTATAAATTAATGACCATTGAAATATTTTGGGAAGTTCAAGTTACAAGTTTTCTTACACTGAGGCAATGTGCCCGAAGGAAAAGGACATCATGTAAAGGCTTGAGCTGAAGCCTGAGAAGGACAGCAAAAAACCTACACCAGCTCCTGAAGGCTCTGATTCGGAAGTTTTGTTCATTTATCTCTTACGATGACACAATGTGGCAAGAGAAACTGTTTGACTTTGATCATTACATGGGAGAAAGCTTTGCATACAAAACAATAACCAGACTAAATTCTCATGTAACACGGTACGGGAGAGAGAGTTTGTTTTCCAGAGGCTGACTGCACGAAAATCTGCACTAAGTACATATTTTTCAGGAATATCTCAAAGTTTAAACATTAGTTCTAGAGTAGGAAAATAATGCTGAAAAGCTTTGTCTCTTTCAAATTTACTCAATAGGACTCAAAGACGTGTTAGTATTGTGGATCTGAATGCACACACTGCTGCTAACGAAGACTCGGGCAAAACAGCTCCAGGACTCGGTTGTTTAACTAATTCCAGGCCACAGAACAGGACAGAACGTGACTGAGTTTTGAGGCCAGTCCTCGACTGGGTGCAGTTTCTGTGGTTTAGTAAAAGGGCTCCAAGTTTCGGCTGACAGAACAAATACAATTTTGAATCCAGTTGAAAAATTCTTTAAGTCTTCGCTGTAACGTACAACAAAAAATTTGTTATACAATTATAACACAGCCACAGGCTATTATTAGCATCACCCTTCATCTTCCCTTTGACAAACATACATCCTTATATTTTCTGTTCATACCTCCTTCTCCCCTTGCATTTTTATAACCCCAGTGACAGCACCACTACGACAGTAGGCTATGCAAGCTGAACGCTACCATCTAGGGGCAGGGTTTGTTAATGATGTATCCCAAAATCTCTCATGGAAGCCAAACAAAGACTACAAATAGATAAGCCACCTTTCCTCAACACCCTCATCCCATTCCAGATCAAGCAGAAATAGGGCCATGATGCAGACTTGCTCCCTCCAGTCTTCAGGCTAGTCTTTGCAGAAGCTCAAAAACAACATCGTAAAGTAAACCCAGATATTTTAGACAGCCCCAGTTGCCTTTCAGTGCAACAAGCATTTTGCTTATGGACTGCATTTGTGTTCCACACTCGGTACAGAGGAGGTCATCACGCTCATGCTACCATTTTATATCTTTCCCACCCCTTCCACGTGAGCGTTCTGCCCCAGGGACTGTGCAGTGCCCTCCCACCCAGACGTACCACAAACGGTGACCTCTTCGCTATAGCAGGTGGAGACATGGCTGATGTTTGGCAACTGCTTGAGGTGCTTCCTGGTCTCATGCAGAAGGTTTAAGACATAGCGAGCGTGGAGCTGCTACTAGGAGAAAGCGAAGGGATTAAAGCAGGAAATCAGTGACCTCTGAGCTCTGTCTGCAAAGGCCCCAAGGACCCACCACGATCGCCTGGACGGCAGGGATTCTCAATGGGACGCTCAGTGCTGACCTACGGGCTTACAAACAAGATGACACAAACACTGGACAACAGCAGGACGGAAGAGACTCGCCCAAATCAGCCCAGCCTTGGCACTGGCAGGACTGGCAAGAGAACTCAAAAGCCCTAGCACCCTGCATCAAGGCTATATCCACTAGGCGACACCACCTCCTAGAGACCTTAGTTTTAGAACTAGTTTTGGTTTGGAGAAGGGATGCTTTGGCCTATTTTGCAGTTCAGCACGTTGACTGAGGGATGGCAGCAGAACACTGCAACTGTGTAAGGACTTGCCTTGTTAGTGCTGCTAAATTGGTGTTGGACTTCCTCATCAAAAAAATTCATTTTTTAAATATAAGTCAGAGTTGCATGGCACGAAACAGAATTTTAATCAGCTGTTTCCATCTGGGCCATCCTATACTTTTTTACAAATTGAGGAATTGCAACAAAGAAATGACACAATGTTTCAACATGGACTGTTGTGGGGTTTTTCCCTTTTAAAATGAAATTCAGGTTAATACTGGTACACACCTGCGAAAGGCTTTGAGTTTTGCCAGAACTGCATTTTCAGAAAGGAAGAAAGTTCCTCTGTCAGGAACGTATCATTTCCATGCCCCTTTGCTTAACAGCCTGCCAGCTTGTTATACTCCAATCAGCTTAGCTTGTTAGGAAAGCTAAAACCAAATTATCTATCCTACACCCCTGCACAGAGAAGGAGAAAGCGTGGTTCCTTTTGGGATCCTTACTTGTTTCTGTTTGAAAGCTTCCAGCAAGGCAGTCGCATGGTCAGGAAGGAGTGGGAAAGAGAGACGGGGTCCAGTGTAGGAGTCTGGCACCTCCATGGATTCATAGTCACAGTATTTTTCCAGCTCTGCCTCTTTGAAGCTTTCCCCACTTATGAACATGCGACTGATAAAATCCCCTGGGTGGCAGATTGGTGGGTTTGAGTGGATTTTTTAAAAGAGAAAGAGACAAGAAAAAGTTAAGTTGGCTCAATACACCGCTCTAGTAATTTGCCAAAGAAAAGCTGTTTGGTTAGGCTAAAGCTCATGAGCAATGGCAGCAGCAGAGGGTAGCTCCTAGTTCGACACTGCTACAGAACTTGAAGTGGAGAAAAGGCTGCAGGGACAAGTTTCCGTGTGCTGTGTGTCACGCAGCGCTGGCAGCAACACTAGTTTCCACGAAACTCTGGTAGAGCCAGGTAGACATTGGTTGCCATGGCTAACTGAAATCTTATATTTAATGACATGCGAAAGCAAGTTGTGTACTAAAGAACTGTCTCCTGCGTCCCACTGGTTTTTCTAAGCTTGCATCTACATTCTCAGTGTTGCACAAAATTTGGGGGTTTTATTGCTGTTATGTCTCAGAGCCCAACTCAAGGAACAGGACATTATTGTCCTGTTTTACACAGACACTGAAAAAATCATCCTCAACAGAGCTTTGCTGTAAAATATGCAGGGTGGTTGTTGGAAGGGCGGCGGTTTGAAAGGAGGAAGCGAGGACTTCAGCAGGTTATGGTCAGCAAAGTAAATAGTTCATTTTGACTTACTACCATCAGATTTCAGAGCTAAGCTCATTAGCATGTTCCCAGCACTAAGAAATAACATATAATGCTCTCTGCAGATTCAGGAAGATACTGTAATGGTTCCCACAGCACTTTTCCCCGCCCCAATGATAAGTAAAAGACTAAATATAAATGAAGTAGATAGCCTAGA